GCCCACTCCCGGCTGTTTCAGACAACGGAAACTCTCATCTTGTCAGACTCAGAGAAGACCCCTCAGCTCCTACGTTTGTGCCCTGACACTTCTGCCAGGCTAGTGCCCAGAATACTTTGTTCCCACGGGTGTCACCTTTAGGTGGTAGATGTTGTCTTCTGTGTCAAGGTCAATGCGCTGGGCCTTTCTGTTGATGGACATGACTGATAGCCGGACATCGATGGAGCCGTGGAGCTTCCCCTTGGCGATCTGGAGTGGAGGGTTGGTGGGAGACAGGGGACTGGTTTGAGGGTCCCAGAAGCACAGAGTCACCACCTCCTAGAGGCCACACTAGACTCAAGGGCCACGCACCTCAAATCTCATATAAAGGGGCTTGTTCATCACCTCATCTGCATGTCCAACTTCTTGCAGGTCTGAGAAGCCAGCAAGCAAGAAAAAAATACCACCACCCCGCGCCCCCCCCCCGGAACTCTACATGGTGGGGGAAAGAAGACCCCTTGGAAGGAACCGGGGAGCGCAGCCTTGTTCCTTGTTCCCAGCACGAGAGGACGACAAGGACAGGGGGACAAAGCTCCCATTTCTGGGGCACTTGGTTTGCAACGGGCATCATCCAGATAAGTGCACAGGCGGCTGAGTGTGTCCCCCACCCCACGTCAGCAGGAAGGAGGTTGAGGCCCAGGGAAGCAATTGTCTGATGGTATTTTGGGTTCTAGGAGCCACAAAGGAAACCAAAATGCGCATATGCTGGTCTCTCACGGTGAAAGGTACAGTTTCTACACACAACCTATATCCATCTCTGTGCCCGTCAGCCATTTTTGGGTGACTTCTAAGACCTAATGCCATTATGTACCTGCTGTGGGAATGGTGACCCTAGGGAATCATAGTGAGAAGAAAACCTCTATGTGTTCAGTACAGGTATACTTTCAAAGTGTGTGTGTGTGTGTGTGTGTGTGTGTGTGTGTGTGTGTGTGTGTGTGTGTGTGTATTTAAATTGTTGAATCTGCAGATGTGGAGCCTAAGGCTGCAGAAAGCCAACAGTAACTTGACATAGGTTGCTGAAAGTAGAACTGAGTGAGAGTCGGACCCTGCTCTGGTTAACTCAAGACACCCCACCTGCTCAGAACATTCTGGGGCAGGCTCCTCCCACACCCCAAACCTGGAACCTGACTTACATCTTGTCGGGTGGTGGCATAGTGGAGGATCCCATCCTCAAGCACAAAGTACCTCTGTGTGGGAGGGGCAGGAGCGGGCAGCCAAGAGCATGGGGTAGGGAGAGAGCAAACAAACACACGTTTTTCTTCTCCTTCACCACACATGAATGCCAGGGCTGTCTAGCAGTCTCCCACATGGAGCTCCTCCCTTGCCCTGACATCCTACCTTGTGCCAGCCCTTAAGAGGCCACTTCCTCTTCTTGAGCAGGTGTCCTTCCTGTCTCTCAGGCATGATGTCCTCTGCTCCCAGTCTGCCCCGAGGCTCCTCCACCACCTCCCACAGCTCGGAGGCCTGAAATCCAGCGTAGATGCAGGGCAGCAACTGGTGAGCCCACTACCTCAGTCCATCCCCCAGGGACCCAAGCTAGGCCCACCCGTCACTGCTTTTCTGCTCAGACCTGCTGGGTACTACTGGGCTTTGACGATTGAGTACTCTCAGCCAGGGAGGGAGTGTCCCTTTCTTGGAAGTCCATGAGGAAGGAGAGGGTACTTCCTGATGAGGAGGGTAGAGCAGGGTAGACAGGGAAGAGTGTCACTTTGTCCTGTGGGAGCCCTTGAAGCAGAAGAAAGACCCATGAATACTCCCCTGCTGTCATGTTCCTACCTTTGGTCTCTCCTGCACTAAGATACACATCCTGCACTCACACACCATCCCCACACCCTCAGTATGCCCTGACACCACCAAGAGCCTAGGCGGCAGCACCCACTCAACCCCCACTGTGGCCACTGCCAGGAGGGGTAAGCGAGCAGCCAGCCTGTGGCTCCACCTGGGGCATACACCCCAGGGATCCAGGAAACGCTGTTTTCTTGAGGCTGGGCAGGGAAGAAGGAAGGGGGTCTAAGAAGAGATGGAAGGGCTCAGAGTCTAGGCGGGCAAGGACTCCTCAGCCCAGCTGCCTTTTCCTCTGGGACCTCTTTGCCTATCTCCATGGCTTGGCAACTCCTCTGCCACAATAGCCCTGCAGACCACCCCTCCAACTTCTACTAATCAGCCTCTTAGCGGCCAGTTCTTGTGCTCCCATTTTCTGCATGGGGAAACTGAGGTTTGAGACAGTCCTATTTTCACATGCCCGGAGGATACCCACCTGGGATTTCTTTTTACCCCACCCCTTTCAACAATGTCCTCTGTGCTCCTGAGGAGCACCTCCCACCCAGAAGGAGCAGGACACTGGCTGGCTGAGACACTGTGGGTGGGAGAAGAGGTGGCCAGGAACATGTCCAGGTCCCGCAGCAGTACCCACAGGCGCCCTTGGCACTGGCTCTGGCCATCCTGGCTCCGCCAGGAGATCAATAATGCATGAGGCTCTATGTGTGTATGAGCAGGGGGAGGGGACCGGAGGGGTGATGTTGCCCTGTGTCTGGGGAAGCGGCTCAGAGCTTATGCAGCTAGCAAGCACCTGAGGAGTTGAGGCCCAGAAGGGACAGGGAAGTGACTGTGTCAGTGTGGCCAGGAGGTCACAGCAGAAGGACCCAGGCTGCAAGAGGCTGACCCAAGGGGAAACTCCTGCATTCAGCCATTCAAAGTTTCCAAACTCTTCCGGTGTTTGGGTATGTCTATGGCCTTGTCGTGGCCCCTAGGACTCGGGCGTTTAATGCTGGCCCCCCACAGAGGTGGGAGGTGTCCACCCATAGGAAGGAGAGTCCAGTCGAGGCACGTGAGTGTCTTCCCAACCACCACCATTCTCAGCCTCTTTCCTGGAGGAGCGGACCCACCAGCTGCAGAGGAGAGGAAACCCTCCCAGGAATGTCAGGCGGTGCCAGCAAGGCCCCCTTACCCCAGGGTCCATGGACGCCAGTGCTTCTTGGTCCGTACACTGATCCGCCTCTGAGTCACTGTCCCTGAGTCACCGGCTACCTCTTCACAGAGCTGAGCAGTGGTAGCAGCTGCTGCAGGAACCAGGAAGGAAGGAGACGGAGCCTCCCCTCCAGCCGGATCTCCCCACCTGCCCCTCCCCCGTCGCCTCCTCCCGCCAAGCTCCGGGCTGCCGCTCAGCTCTGCCCCCCTGCTCCCGGGAGGACTAAGGACGGAGTGGTACCAAATGACTTGGAAGTGAGGGGCACAGTCCCCACTGGGCATAGTTACCCACGGATCATGCTGGCTTCAAGCCATGGGAGGTAAAGGATTTATTCTGGACAGCGTGGCCTTGACCCCGGTGAGCACTCAAGGCCATTTCCTTATTCACCCTGCCTCTCGGTTTACACCTGAAATAGATGGCACATTTTGGACTGGCAAAGCTATCAAGCTGACTGGGAAGGGACAGAGACACCCTCCCACCTCACACCACCCCTGCATACTCTGGGACATGACAGACTGCCAGAAGCACAGTCAGCAGGGCACTCAAGGGAAGAGGGACAGCTGAAGCCCCACAGAGGCTGTTCATCCCGAGCGAATGACACCCTATCAGGTCGGCTGCGGGGATCAGGAAATGCCTGTGCAGTGAGTCTTTGGGGTGGGAGCAGCTCCGGGGCAGTCACCAGTTGGCTGTTAGAAAGAAAAGCCAACTTAGGGGTCCCTCCCCTGACCCTCACACACCTTCACCCACTGCTGGAGCACTATGCTCACTTGCTGAAGTAATTAAGAATTGGCTCTTGAGAAATACCAACAATTCATCCAAATGAATGTGCACCAAGTGACAGGTTTGGTGCCTGAGACATGGTGGCACCAGCAGGCTGTGGTTATTGAACCCTTGTACAGCCTCAGAAATGATGTGGGCCACTTGTCTGCCCAACCTTGTCAGATTCAAGGTCTTACACACCTCAGGGGTACCTGCTGTCTGGGCTCCCTTCAGAACCTCAGCGTAGACAAAGCCTTCCAGGAGGGAGGAATGCTGTGGGCAGTACCAGGCAGGCATCTGGAAGCACTGGGCAGCTGCTCTGACATCCAGAGCCTCAAGGGCCTTTTAAATGATTGAGCATCCCTGGGCATCTGCAGAGCTGGGCACCGTAAGAAGTTGGTCCCGGCCCAGGCCAGAGGAGAGCTGCTGCAGATCCTCAACACCAGTGTCTGTCCAGGACTAAAGATGTGTGGCATTGCTCCAAGTCTGGGAAGGAATGCTGAGGAGCCACTCCTCATTCAGCCCCATCCACCTAAGATGTGTTCCAAGCAAGGACAACACAGGCTACAGGCTAAGCATCTTCCTTGTTCGAGGCACTGTTCTCTAAGACCAGGGAAGGCCTCCTGCAACAGCCCCCAGAGCCATATTAAAAGAGAATTCTAGTTCCCCTAGATCTTTTGTGCTACCTGCCACAGCCTTCGTAAGGAAAAGCATGCAAGACATGGTATCTGTACGTGCAGGTGACCAGAGAAGAGGATTTTTTCGGAAGGAAAGTGAGAATTTAGAGATGACTTGAGATAACTCAGAGAATAACAGTAAGATCAAGAGTCCAGGGCTGGAGACTCAACTGTAAGCACTTGTTGCTCTTCTGGAGGACTCGGGTTCAATTTCCCACCCACGTGGTGGCTCACCACCACCACCACCTCTAGTTCCAGGAGGTCTGATGCCCCCTTCTGACCTCTGTGGATATGAGGCACAAACGTGGTACACACATGTAAATGTAGGCACAGTTTTACACATAAATCTTTTTTTGTTGTTGTTGTTGTTAAATGTATATGAGTGCTCTATCGATTCCATGCCAGAAGAGGGCATCAGATCCCACTATAGATGGTTGTGAGCCACCATGTGGTTGCTGGGAATGGAACTCAGGAACCTCTGGAAGAGCAGCCAGTGCTCTTAACCGCTGAGCCATCTCTCCGGCCCATTTTTACACATAAATCTTAAAAAACAAGAGTCCATAAAATGTATTTTATTTTTATAATGAAATTTTCCCATTCCTTCCACAACTCAGCACACTCTAGGGTGGACCATTAACCTCTGAGCCCACTCAGGACCCACTCCGTTGGGTAACTTTATAAAGTTCTACTATGGCAATTTGAGGCTTCAGAGAATCAAGTTCAAGGCCTTGTGCAGGACTTCAAACTCTGCCCTTTCCTGAACGGTAAGGAATAAAGGAGCTGGCATTTGTGTTTGGTATAGGGCTTGGCACAACACCGCAGGTGCCATTTACAAGGTCCACCACAGCACGCAGAGGAGCTGAGAGGGTGGCTGGGGAGACACAGAGCAAGGGGCAGTGGACGAGAAGGCTGGGCAAGATACTCTCCATTCTCTCTGCTTTGTGCCTGGAGAGTCGAAGGAGACTGTTCCTATCAGGTCCCTGGTTGGGACAGCTAAAGACAGAGTGACTAGTGAAACTGAAGACAATGGACAGCCTCATTCTGAAATGGAATTTCTCTGTATCTTCAAGAGGCCTGTCCCCAAGGAGGTCATTGTGAATGAGAGCCAAGTGACACATGCCACTCCCACACTCCACATTCTTTTAGATCTTGGCCAGACAACAGGGACAGAGTGTATTCTGGGCAGAGCTGGGTTAAACAGGTGGGCTAGGAATCTGGAGCAGGGTCAGGAGGATGCGGCTCTCCAGTGGCTGACGTGGCAGACTTCTCCTGCTGTCTGATGTACTGATCCAGCAGGGAAGTCAGCTGGGAAGGCTGGTGCTGAAGCAGGTAGCGGGTCTGGGCCATGAGGCGAGTAAGCCCTCCTACCAGCTCCCCTTGCAGCAGGTCCAGGCTGGGCAGCTTGGCGTAGTCTACGAAGCCCTGCCTGCTGAGAATGGTGTCATCAACGCAGCCACCTAGAAGAACGGAGGGTCAGCTGGGTTCCCTGCAAATGTTCCTCTTCTTGAGAGGCACCATCCCAACCCAAGAACCTGCTCTCCAGTACCCTTCTCCCCTCCCAGTTGGCCCTAAAATTGGGGTCACACTCGTGCCTCACCCCATTCCCACTGTTGGGCACCAATCCCCTCTCCTCTCTTCCCCTGAAAACATGCCTAAGATGTGCACCTAATCTCAAACACCCTAAAGTCAGTGGCTCCTGAACTTCTTTGACAACAGGCTCTTGGAGTGAAGAAATGGAGCTGCCATCTAAATGACACAGATACACAATGATGGGGACGGATGGAGGTGTCACCTGCACAGCACTACAGATCTGTCTAACACCACTCAACTAAACACGTACCAACAGGGGACAGTGGGTCGCATGCTATGTGTATTTTGCAATGAAATGCCAGGGAAAGAAAATCCTGGAGTGTGAGGGGGTGTGTATGACTATAAATCTAAGTTCCTAGGAAACAGGAATTTTCTGGGGACACAGGCAGTCTCCTCCACAGAATGAACCCCAAAACACACTGGTCACAGCACTGGCCCTCGGCCCTCTTTATTTGAGATACTTGTTTTAATATTTTTAAATGTTTTTATTTATTTATTGGACGGGGCATGCACATACCACAAACAACTTCTGGGACTCGGTTCTCTCCTCCCACTATGTGGGTCATGGCGATTGATCTCAGATCCTCAGCTCTGGCACCAGGACCTTTACGTGCTGAGCCATATTGCTGGTCCAAGAGATACTGATACCTTCACCAGTACCCACTACCTGATAGGTAAGGCTCAGAAAGCCTGATGTCCCCTCCCGTCTCCTCACTGGGAGACACCCCTATGCTCCCTTTCCTCCAGTACAGAAATGACGTGTGGCAGTGTTACAGCACAGGTGTTGAGTGACACAGTCAGTCCCCAATAAACATGCTGACTCAGGCCTCATCCACCAGAGGCTCTGTGCCACCCACCTACTTCACCCCGGCTCTAACTGGCAGGGCTGCCCACTCACCCAGCAGTGGCAGGAAAGGAACACTCTTTAAGATCCGAACCATTTCCTTGACCTTGGGCTCTTCACTGACCAGTAGCAGATTGTGCCCAATAAAAAGGGGTAGCAGGTTTTGGTATTTTGAATCTTCTAGAAAAGGCTTCAGGACCTAGGATCGCAGGAAAGAATGGCTAATGTGGGACAAGAGGAAGGAAAGCCACATACCTTAGTCACAGGCTGTACCAAGCTGAAAGGACACCCTTAGGGTCCCCTCAGTCCCTACCCACAGTTTAGGCACCAGACTAGGGCAGCGTGTCTAGGCTGACTAGAACAGAAATTGGAAGTAGCCTTTAGGAGGAGCAGAGCCGGGTCCATTCAGCAGGCATGGGAGGAAGACAGGCCTGAGCCAGGGCAACCCTACCTGGTTGGGGAAGACTTTTATCAAGATCTTGTGTTTCCGCAACTGGTGCCGCAGGAGAAGCTTGTCCTCTGCACTCATGGCCACGTTCTGACAGACAGCTATCATTCGGTTATCTCGAAAAACTGCTGCTATATCCCGACGCAGGAGCTGGATAAGTCCTGACTCCTGTGGCAGGACGGGATGGCTGAGGAGATATGAAGGTCTCCTGGTCCCCCCCGCCTTTCCCCACATAGGCACTGGGGTGGTCAGTGATGCCAGAATGTGTAACGGACTGGAGAACAGGTGGAATACCCCGTCCCCAGGAGCGTTCTGCTTCCACTGGAGACCCCAGGCTTCAGAGCACCTGAGAGCGCCTGCCCGCCCTTCTCCAGACACCTTGGCAGGCAGTCTGTGTTATCACAGTTAACAAAGATTACTTCAGTTACAGGCTGTGGTAATACAAGCCTGTAAAATTAACTCCAGCTACTCAGAAGGCTGAGGCAGGAGAATCAAAAGTTTAGGCTTGAACTGAAAAGTGACTTTAAGACTAAATTTTTAAACTTAGCCAGGCGATGGTGACGCACGCCTTTAATCCCAGCACTCGGGAGGCAGAGGCAGGCGGATCTCTGTGAGTTCGAGGCCAGCCTGGGCTACATAGTGAGTTCCAGGACAGGCTCCACAGCTACACAGAGAAACCCTATCTCGAAAAACCAAAAATAAATAAATAAATAAATAAATAAATACACTTAGTAAGACAGTCTCAAAATAAAAGTTAAAATAAAGGCCCGGGACAGAGCTTAGCAGACCACTAGTATATGCAACAAACCACGTCCAATTCCCAGTACCACACACAGACAATTACTTCAATTATCAATCTCACACTGTACTAATGGTGAATTATTTTACCAACTTTACTATTTTTTGTTGTTGTTGTTTTTCTAAACAAGGTTTCTCTGTGTAGCCCTGGGCTATCCTGGAACTCATTCTGTAGACCAGGCTGGTCTCGAACTCAGAGAACTGCCTGCAACTACTTCCCAAGTGCTACAATGCTGTGGGATGGTCTGTATGTCAAATGTGTTGCTGATTGGTCAATGAATAAATCACTGATTGGCAATGGCCAGGCAGGAAGTATAGGCGGGACTAACAGAGAGGAAAATTGAGAGAACAGGAAGCTGGGAAGGGAGACACTGCCAGCCGCCATCAGGATAAGGAAGATGTAAAGTACCGGTAAGCCACAAGCCACGTGGCAAGATATAGATTAATAGAAATGGATTAATTTAAGCTGTAAGAACAGTTAGCAAGAAGCCTGCCACGGCCATACAGTTTGTAACCAATATAAGTCTCTGTGTTTACTTGATCGGGTTTGAGAGGCTTGGGACTGGCGGGTGAGAGAGATTTGCCCTGACTGTGGGCCAGGCAGGAAAACTCTAGCAACACTACAATCAATTGAGTGTGCCACCATTGCCCAGTTTATTTTACCAATTTTAGATATGTGATGGAGGCTGGAAGATGACTCAGTGGGTAAAGGCATTTGATGCCAAGCCTGGATGAAATGAGTTCACTTCCTAGGACCCAGGCTGGGCAGAGGGTACCTTTACCTTACCACCCCAGGACTTCATTTTCTCTTTCTCAAAATTTATGTGTCTGAGTATTTTGCCTGTATGTATGTCTGCTCCCCATGCATGCAGTGCCCTAGGAGGCCAGAAGAGGGCACTGGATCCCGTGCCCCTGGCATTACGACAGTTGTGAGCTGCTCCCAGGGGTGCTAAGGATCCCACCTCTGTAAGAACAAGTAATCACTGAGTCATTTTCTCCAGCCCCTCACTGTCTTTTTTTTTTTTTTTAAGACAGGGTTTCATTATAGTCCTGGGTGATCTGGAATTCACTATCTAGACCACGGCAGCCTTGAACTCGTAAGCAATCTTCTTTCTTGGGCCTCCTGAGTGCTGGAATTACAGGTATGCGCCAGTCTGCCCAGGTTTTTTGTTCTTTCAAAACAGCTTGTCCTACCGGGCGGTGGTGGCGCACGCCTTTAATCCCAGCACTCGGGAGGCAGAGGCAGGCGGATCTCTGTGAGTTCGAGGCCAGCCTGGGCTACCAAGTGAGTTCCAGGAAAGGCGCAAAGCTACACAGAGAAACCCTGTCTCGAAAAACCAAAAAAAAAAAAAAAACAGCTTGTCCTATAGTGAAAACTGGCCCTGAACTCTCTACACAGCCAAGGACGACTCTGAACACCCAATCCTCAGCTTCCACCTCCTACACACCAAAGATTATAGGTTTGGGGCACCACCTAGCTTCTTCCTGTTCTTTCCCAAAGACAAAACACTTCTATCGTCCCTTAGGGAAACAGGGACGCTTCGGCTCCTTTGAAAACAGGAAAGAGCAAGGTGTGGGAGCTCATACTGTAATCTCAGCATCCAGGAGATCACTTGAATTCAGGAGTTTGACAAGAGCTTGGTTCTGAGACTCCCCATCTCAAAAAAAAAAAAGCAGGAGTGAACCCCCCACCCCCACCTTGCACCTTGTAGAGTTTTCACATATGTTTTTGGAGACAGATAAATAAAGAAAATGCGGACTGGCAGCCCAGGTGATTCAGAACCCATGTCATGCAGAACCCAGTGCACATTTTATGATAAAGAAGCAGGGCTGGGTGAGATGGCTTGGAGTGCCTGCTGTGCACGCCTGACGATCTGAGTTCAGTCCCCAGAACCCACAGAAAAAGCCTGATGTGGTTGATACGTCCGCAGTCACAGCACTCCTGCAGCGAGATGCGGAGACAGAGACAGAGACAGGAGGACTCGTCTGAGCAGAAGCTTGTGTGGATTATGTAGCATGGCAGAATTCAGACTACACGGTGGAAGAGAGGACAGACTCCTGAAAGCTGCCCTCTGACCTCCACACATGAGCAGTGGCAAGTGTGTACCCACATTCACATTCACACACACACACACACACACACACACACACACACATGGCTCCAAGTGGGAAAGTGAACAACTACATGGCTTGGAGTCCAACTTTAGCAGCCTACCACCAAGTAACATTAGCAAGTCTCCTTACCTCCTTGGGGGGTTTGGGAGGAGGTGGTAGGCATCGAGGGTTGACAGCAGGCTTAGGAGGAATATACTCAGTTAGAGCCATTAGCTTCTGCCGCTCAAAGTGCATGACGCGACGGTGGCGGGTCACAGCCTTGGAGCCATGGCGCACAGTCTGGAGGGTGGGCAGCCAAGCTGGAAGGGGAGATGGCAGCGCAGTAAGAGACAGCCCCATGGAGGACCCAGCTTATCTCCGATGGACAAAAGAACACCCCCACTCCCACCAATAGAACTAGAGACGGCACAACAAGTCTCCTCTCCTTCTGAAGATGACCTTCTGGTCCGCCCACTCCACCTGAGTGCTGTGTGTAGGATTACAGGTGTTTGCCACTGCGTCTGGTTTAAGTGTATTTCGGATTAAATGCAGGGCTTCTGTGCATGCTAGGCAAGTCTACCAAGTGGACTACAGACCCAGCCTTCAAAGTCCTTCTTATGTGCAGTGCTAGACGTTGAAAAGATTATATATTTTTTAATTGGGTGATAGTGGTGCACTCCTTTACTCCCAGCACTTAGGAGGCAGAGGCAGGTGGATCTCTGTGAGTTCAAGGCCAGCCTGGTCTACAAAGTGAGTTCTAGGACAGCCAGGCTACACAGAGAAACCCTGTCTCAAAAAACCAAAGATTATTATTATCTTTTTTTTTTTTTTTTTTTTTTACAAGATAAAGTATTTGAAAAGTCCAAAACAAATGGAGAACCAGGAAGTGTGCACACTTGTAATTCCAGCACTCAGGATTGTCATCAGTAGGACACCGATCTAGTCTAGTCTACAAAAAACCACACCTAAATAACTAACTAAACAAATAAAGCGAATGGAGAGAGGGCTGAGCAAACCTTTCCTTAAATGGCCAAATAATAAATATTTTAAGTTTGGGGTCCATACAGTCTGTCCTCAACTCTGCTAAAAACAGTCATGAAAACCTAGCTGTGGTTGGGGCTGGAGAGATGGCTCTGTGGTTATGAGTACTTGTTGGTCTTGCAGAAAGCCTGGGTTCACTTCCCAGCACCCACACAATGACTCAAAACCATCTGTAACTCCAGTTCCAGAGGATCTAAAGCCCTCTTCTGAGATCCGCAGGTACCAGGCAGAAATGTGGTGTGCATTACATATATGTAGTCAAAACACAAAAATTAATAATAACAACAACAACCAGACGTGGCGGGGCATGCATGTAATCCTAGCACTCAGAAAAGAGAGGCAGGAGGATTGCCCCAAGTTCAGGGCTAGACTAGTCTGCATAGTGAGTTCTACGCCAGCCAAGGCTACATTGTCAGATGGTGCTCTTTAAAATGAAGAAAGGAGCTGGGTGGTGGTGGTGGTGGTGGTGGTGGTGGTAGTGGTGGCGCACGCCTTTAATCCCAGCACTCAGGAGGCAGAGGCAGGTGGAGCTATGTGAGTTCGAGGCCAGCCTGGTCTACAATGTGGGTTCCAGGACAGCCAGAGCTGTTACAGAGAGAAAACCTGTCTCAAAAAAAAAAGAAAGAAAGAAAGAAAAAAGAAAAGAAAGAAAAGAGGAAGAGAAGGGAAGGGAAGGGGAAGGAAGGAAGGAAGGAAGGAAGGAAGGAAGGAAGGAAGGGGAAACAAGCTGGCAAGGCAGTGCATATCTTTACTCCTAGGGCTTGGGAGACAGAAGCAGGTGGATTTTCTGTGAGTTCCAGGCCAGCTGGGGATGTACAAAAAACCAACCAACCAACCAAAACCAGTACGGTCACAAATAATACGTAAACAGATGAGACTATGCTCCAGTAAAACTCTGCTCATAAAACAGTCATCAGGGGCTGGGACTGCAGCTGGGAGATGCAGAACTGGTCTAGGTGCCAAGCCCTAGGTCCCATCCCCAGCAAACAAGAAAAAAAAAAAAAAAAGGAGCAAATGACAGAAGAAAGCGATACTGTGACCAGCTCTACTGTAAATGTCAATCCTCGGTCTTAGCGGCAGCTCTTGAAGGACAAACCCCTGGATCAAGTCAACATCAGCTTCATCTGGGAACTTGCTAGAAATACACACTCTCATGCCTGCCCTCGACCTTCGAAATCAGAAACTCTGGAGCAGAGTCCACCTAGTTGTGTTTAAGAAGCCCTTCTGGTGACAATGCATGGCTTCATCCCCGAGCGCTGAGGTCTGCTCCTAGGACTTGAAGCAAGAGGGAGGAAAAACACATTACACCACCCTCACGACCCTCCCAAACAAGTCTTTCTTCCCGTCAGAGATGGTGGTGAATGCCAGTAATCCAAGCTCCTAGGAAGTAGAGGCAGGAGGATTAGGAGTTCAAGGCCAACATCAGCAGTGAGACCCTGACTCGAAAAGCAAAATGGAGGGTCTGGGAGATGATTCATCCAGTACAGTAAATGCACTTACTGCCAAGCCTGATGACTTGGGCTCAATCCCCTGGGGCCCCCTATAGTGGAGAAAAGATTCATGCAAGTTGTCCTCTGACCTTTGTGTGCCCAATGGCATATCCTGATGACAAGAAAAGCTTGAAAGGTTCTCTCAGAAACCAAAGAAACACTCCGAAGCCCGGAGCCAAAGTGACTCTTTTTCATCCCCAACAAAAAGACCAACACTGTCGTTTCCAGGTACGGCTGGGAAAGGATCAGCTAGAAGACTCTTGGAGACTATGGAGGATTACCAGGGTGAGAGGTTTTATGGCTAATAGACCTGTTAAGAGTGTCTTGGGAATGAGACAGAACTGGATTTTAAGTCCTGCTCTGCATATTATTAGTGTTATTTTTGCCCTGGCACTGAACTGGTCCAAACTTCAGTGTGCTTATCTGTAAAGAGGGGTTAATAATGCCTTCTTCCCAAGGTGCTTTAGCTGTAAGATGTAAACCAGGCAATGAGGGTAAAACAATAACCACAATCCCTGGCCTACAGTACGGTGTCAAATCTACTCACTGAATGCCTAACGCGTGCCTACTAACCTCAGGCACCAATGCCACTGACTAGCTAAGATGAATGGACACAGTGCGACCCTCCACTGGGGTTTAACAGACGAGACAGGCGCCTGGGCAAATGTAAAACTAGACTGTGAACTGACTGAGCGGGGGGTGTCGATAAACAGGATACAAGCAAAAGATTTCACTGAGGAACCTGCTTTATAACGCGAGGGTTGTGAGAGAAGACCCGAGGAGGCTGAGTTTACGCTGACCTTAAGAAACAATATACTAAAACCCCAGCAAGGACCTTCCGGGGTCGGGGACAAGAACTGAGCGAAGAGTTAGAAGACTCCAAGGCAGAAATAAACACTGTTGTTCGTGACGTCGTTGCTGTCATTACCAGGGTGTGTATGGGGATGGAGGGGCTGTCACAGGGCACTAGACCCAGTCAAATCAGAGAGCCGGCTAGCGGCAGGGTCACCGAGAGCTGTCCGATTACGGGAAAGGTCGGAGGGAAAGGAGGGAGCGCGGGCTAGAGAGCGCCGGCCTGTGCGCCGCGAGGCCCTGGGCCTCTCCTTACCCGCCCGGGGCGGGAGACCTCCTCGGAGTCTCCCCGCCACCGCCGCAGCCATCGCTACAGGAAGTCCCCACGAGCGCTGCGCGGAGACGGAAGGAGCTAAGCATTGTGGGGCAGCAAGGAAAACCCAGGGCCGGAAACGGTAGGAGAGCCGCCGGATGGAGTCGCTATCCGCATGCGCAGCGTCGGGCCCGTGGTGCCGCCCCCACGCCTACCGGTCCCGCGGAGCTGGCGTCCAGTCTCCTAGCAACGACGCGAGACTGCCAGGGACCGTTCTTCTCATCCTTCGGGTCTCTTCAGTTTGCGACCAGTAAAGCCACGCCACACACTTGTAACTCCAGATCCTTCGCTCTGATTTTACTCCTGTCTTCCACCGCACCCCCAGCAACTGACTCTGAACCATCCATCCCTGTCCTTGTCGCCTCAGTCTTCCCTCCAGGCTTCTCTCCAAGCTGGGTGCCCTCATCCCAACCGCCCGGCTCTAAGCTTCTCTGCTCCCCTTAGTCTATCTCCTGCCTCAAACAGCCGCTATTTATTTTAGGTCATGCCAGGAGGCAAGCAGGAAGGTGAGTTGGTGTATAGAACAACTGGACGAGAGTCAGGTCAGGTCTCCCAAGAATGAAGGCAAATGAAAAGGAGCTTCTCTTTTCACAGCTAAGAGTGCTGCCCAGGGTACAGAGGAAGGCGAAGTCTGCATTACCGAAGCCCTGATCACCAAGAGGAACTTGACCTTTCCTGAGGATGAAGACCTGTCAGAAAAGATGTGAGTGGAGAAGAAAAGCACAGATGTTCAGTTTGCTGAGCTATATGATTTTGTAAATCGTGTTGATCTCTTTAGTCACTCCACACTCCAATCAGTAGTACTTCCCACTTGGTTTTCCTTCCTTTTTTTTTTTTTTTTTTTTTTTTTTTGAGACAGGGTTTCTCTGTATGCTTTTTACTTCTTTTTTTTTTTTTTTTTTTTTCCAGAGCTGAGGACCGAACCCAGGGCCTTGCGCTTGCTAGGCAAGCGCTCTACCACTGAGCTAAATCCCCAACCCCGCTTTTTACTTCTTAAAGATGGCTCTTTTCTCATCATCCTCAGCTGCCTCAGAGAATGCTGTAGCAAACTCAGAAATTCTCTGTTCAGTCCTCAGTCTGGCCTCCCCACACTCTTGTTGCCCAGTTGATCTTTATACACTATAAATCTAATTATTTCCTGGTAGAAACTTCCTCAGCAACCCGTTACATCCAGAATAAAATCCAAACAGCACGAACCAAAAAGCTTTCCACACTCTAAAAGTGTGCAATTTCTCACACTGCATTCTTGCCGCTTGTTGCTCAGAAGTGAGAGCAGCTTGGCCTCACCCAAGAGCTTGTTAGAAATGAAGGCTTTCCACTGGGGATGTAGCTGGCTTGACAGAGTGCTGAGCACCACGTAAAACTGGCCTTGGTGTCATCTCAGCACTCAAGAGGTAGAGGCTGGAAGATCAGAGGTTCAAGACCATCCTTCTCAGCTACATAGTGAGTCTGAGGCCACCCTTGGCTACATGAAGCCCTGGCTTTAAGAGAAAGAAGTAAAAAGACACCCATCTCAGACCTACTGAATTAGAATCTGCATCTTCCAGTATCCAAAGGATTCACAGGCACATTCAAGTTGAAGACAGACGAGATTAGCACATGCATGTTCTACTTGAAATGCCCTGTCCCTATCCCTTTCCCATGGCCTGCCCACTGGTCACCTCCTCTAGGAAGTTGCTCTTGATTCCTCCACTCTGGAGTTGGTACATAGCCCATGTAACCACTCTCATTTCTTGTACCTGCCTTTGGCATCCACTTGGCCACAGATATTTGCCTGGCTTTCCTGATAATGATGGGCAAAGACCTATGTCATTTGCCTGGAGGATACTCAGTAAATTTGGAAATAGTGAAGGTATGGATGGAACAAGTGATTTCCCCTCTGTGGGTGACTCAAAAGGGAGTGAGGAAGATTCGTCCAGAAGAAATAAGAGTGTTTCTGCATCTATCCCCACCCTGCCTCCACCATCCAAGCTGATCAAGGAAGGCTTCTCCTGTCCTGAATCTCCAGGGACCTCGGCAGTCATCCACTAGTTGTCCAGAGGGCCCTGCCTTGTCAGCTTCCTCTCTGCTCTTTCTCAGTTCCACCAAGAGAACCATGTGTCTGAGACTATCCAGTCTCATGACCTAGACACCACTACCTGGGTCAAGCAGCTGTTCTCGACGTCTCATCAAAACCATTCAGGCCGGGCGGTGGTGGCGCACGCCTTTAATCCCAGCACTCGGGAGGCAGAGGCAGGCGGATCTCTGTGAGTTCGAGGCCAGCCTGGTCTCCAAAGCAAGTCCCAGGAAAGGCACAAAGCTACACAGAGAAACCCTGTCTCGAAAAACCAAAAAAAAAAAAAAAAAACATTCAGTCCCCTTCTTCTTCTTTTTTTTTTTTTTTTTTTTTTTTTTTTTTTTTTTTGGTTTTTCGAGACAGGGTTTCTCTGTGTAGTTTTGCACCTTTCCTGGATCTCGCTCTGTAGGCCAGGCTGGCCTCGAACTCACAAAGATCCACCTAGCTCTGCCTCCCAAGTGCTGGGATTAAAGGCATGTGCCACCACCGCCCGGTTCAGTCCCCTTCTTTTCCTTGAGACATGTCTTCTTCTACCCGCTCCCTCCCATCGGCCACTAAGAGGCCACAGGTGCAGGGCCTATCGACCCATTTTGCTTACTCTCTCCAGGTTTCATACTCTTGATGAACTGGAGACTGTCCGTCTGGATCGGGAAGGGATTACTTCTATCAGGAATTTAGAGTGCCTCCGGAATATTCACAGCCTCTACCTGCAGTCGGTAAAGTCTTGCCCCCATGCCTCCTGCCCCCTCCCTGTTGTGAACCTAGTCTGTCTAACCTGAAAACTGCTAAACCGTTCATTTTTTTGCATTTCTGGTGTTTAGGTAAGCAAAACACTCCCAAATGAATCAGGAATCCTCCTAAACTGAAAGACTGTTTCCTGGCCAGGCGGTGGTGGCATATGCCTTTTTGTTTGTTAGTTTATTTTTTGTTTTTCGAGACAGGGTTCCTCTGTGTAATTTGGGGACTGTTCTGGAACTCACTTTGTAGGCCAGGCTGGCCTTTAATCCTAGCGCTTGGAAGGCAGAGGCAGGCAGATCTCTGAGTTCGAGGCCAGCCTGGTCTACAAAGCAAGTTACAAGACAAGACAGTCATGGCTACACAGAGAAACCCTGTCTTGAAAAAACAAAACAAACAAAAAGACTGATTTCCTACCCCAGCCCCACCAAGAGCTTCTGAACATGCTCTTGAGTTGCCATGCCACCATTCCAGTTGGGCACAGTGGCATATGCCAGTCTCTTGAGTACCCAAGAAGCTGAAGCAGAAGGACCACAAGATTGAGGTCAGCCTGGGCTACAGAGGAAGTTCCAGGCAGCCTGCCCTACACAAAACCCTGTCTTAAAAATATAGGTCCAAAGGGCTAGAGAGATGGCTCAGCTGTTAAGAGCACTGGCTGCTCTTCCAGAGGTCCTGAGTTCAATTCCCAGCAACCACGTGGTGGCTCACAACCATCTGTAATGATATATGGCGCCTTCTTCTGGCCTGCAGGCATACATGCAGACAGAACACTGTATACATAATAAATAAATCATATATATATATATATATATATATATATATATAGAGAGAGAGAGAGAGAGAGAGAGAGATCGAGATCCAAGTGTGGTGGTGCATGCTTTTGGTCCCATCACTTGGGGAAGCAGAGGCAGGCAGATCTCTGTGAGTTGGAGGTCAGCCTGGTCTATGATTTCCAGGCCAGCCAAGGCTACTTAGTGTGACTGTATGTCAAAAAATGAAATAAAATAAAAACAAATAATAAAATAAAAACATAGGGCTGGCAAAACGCCTCTGTGGGTGAAAGTGCCGCTGCCGAACCTGGTGACTCGCCTGAGTTCACTCCCAGGACCCACACAGTAGGAGAGCACTGTCTCTGTCAGGCTGTTCCCTGACCTCCACACACATCCTTGGCATGTGTGTTCACGCACGCACGCACGCACGCACGCACGCACGCCACCAATGAGGCCATTTCCATTTCTCTATTGGCCCCTTGGTTTCCTTCTTCTGAGTCTGCAGCCCTTTGGTTCTGCTCATTGGACTAGCTCCAAGTTCACACATTAACCATTGACCAGAGAAAACAAATCATCTTCCCCAAGGTAATGGCAGCCAGCCACAGTCAGGTTGATTCTCAACGTGTAATGGCTGCAGCTGAGAACAGACATGGTCTCAGGGCTTTGTCCCTTAAAAAGACTCCCCACCCGGCTGACTTAAACTTGGTTTCCCCACCTGGTTTCTTCCCACAGAATAAGATCCAGCGAATTGAGAACTTGGCATGCATCACTTCTCTGCGGTATGTGGCACCAAAACAGCAAAGGAGTAAGGAGTGGGCGGTGAGAAACTGGCTACACCCCTAGAACTGTCTTGGGGTTCTCTAAGCCTGGCTCTTTGTCAGATGAGAAGTCGAGCTCTGCTCTCCTCACCCCACAAGGCTTTGTGTCCCCACTTAGCCAGCTGCCTACACAGGGGAGCCTGGGGACCTGGCGCCCTCCTCCCTCCTCCTCCCCCCTCCCCCAGGAGTCCTGTGTATCTTATCTCCATCCCTCCCTCTTCTCCGGCAGCTTCCTGTCTCTGGCAGGAAACCAAATCAGGCAGGTGGAAAACCTCCTTGACCTCCAGTACCTCCAGTTTCTGGACCTTTCTGACAACCTGATAGACGTGCTAAAGCTAGGTAGGAACACCATGCCCAGGCTCGTGCAGTGGGTCGGTCTCTCTCTCTCTCTCTCTCTCTCTCTCTCTCTCTCTCTCTCTCTCTCTCTCTCTCCCCTGGCAGGGGTGGAGGGAGGGCAGAGCAAGCATGAGACCCTCACTCATTCTTTCTACTGCACAGATGAGCTCCCCCAGAGCCTTCTCATCCTCAACCTGTGTGGAAACACCTGCACCAACCAAAATGGCTACAGGTGAGGAGGGGCTGAAGGTGGGGTAAAGAAGTGCTAGGTGAGCATCACCCACTGCTCCAGGAAGCCGCTATCAGCCTGCAACTCTGATTCGTTCATCCATCGTGCCCTCTGCCCCCTAGCCTGAGTCTGTCCCAGTCCCACATCCAGCACCTCACAGGAGCCAGCCCTTTGCTCTTTGGGCTGATCCCAGGCCCATCTCCTAGTCTCGGAGTTATACCCACCCAGGTATGGGCACTAAAGCCCATGTCACCGTATCCTCCCAGGTTCCACACTAGGGATGCCCTCAGGGGTGACCTCTGCTCCCCTGCCTTACAGGAAGATGGTGATAGGAGCCCTGCCGCTGCTCTTGGACCTAGACAAGCAGCCTATATTGGAGCGCTGGACCTCAGAGGATGATGATGATGACGAGGAATCCTTGGATGAGGAGGAGGAATTTCCAGAGCTGAATGGCCCATTCTGCACAGAGCGAAGTGATTACTGTCCACACCTTATAGCTTGCCCCCTAGGAGATGGGGAATGACACTGTCACTGTCCTAGGCAGCTAGCTCTGCCGTGATCTTCTCTCCGGCTCTGTGGTCTCCTCCACTCCAGGCCCTTCATGTTTCCAGAGTGCCAGCCAGGACGGTGGAAGGTGACATCTTCCCAGCCTGGCTCAGTCCCTGGGGTTACATGGTCACTTTCCATCAACCTCAGGGCCACCTGCCACTCACGACAGAGTGAGTGTCAATGACCCACCTCAGTCTGGAATCAGCAGGATCTAATGAGAGGATGTGGGGGACCCATATGTATTCTACTAGGGATGCCAGTAGGTTTACCAGAGACATCCCTGGTTCAAGGCCCTCCTGCCAACCCCAGGGCTCTCCCTCTCCTCCCCCAGGATTCTTCAAGGACCTGGACCAGGAACTGCAGCAGCATCAAGAGCGAAGGCAGCAGACGGTCCTTGCAGAGCACTTGTCCAGGATGGAGATCCAGCCTGTCCTCACTGACCTGCCCCAGCTGCCTGCAGTGCCCATGGCTGGGGACTGCAGCCCTGCTGTCACCACGCAGCCTGAGAAAGAGGCCGCCTCTCAGGCCACCTCCTCCACCCAGACCTCCTCTTCTACCAAGAAACCAGTTCCCAAGAGCCAGAAATGCTCTGTCCCGGCAAGGAAGGGGGCTCCAGCAGCCACAGCCTCCAAGACCTCTCCGGCTGCAGCCCCCAGCATGACAAAAAGTACAGTCAAAAGGAACAGGAAGTAGTGCACAGCCCCTCCCTCACTTGTGGCAGGAGCCCCACCCCCAATAAAGTATCTTTGGGCTTTGGAATGCTTTTCATGTCCCATGGGCTAAGTCAAGGAAAGAAACCAAAACCAGAAGTCAAAAACACAATCCCCCAAAGCAGCTTAATTTTCAGGAATGACCCAAAGGGCTGGCATCTCTCTGAGTCCCCAGCTGGCTTGCTGGGCCATAGGTGGGCAACAAGTGGGGACCACCTCACAAAGGATGCTGTCTCATGGTGAGATAGCTTTGTGTTATTGCTTTGGTTTCTTTTGTTGTTGTTGTTTTGAGACAGGGTTTCTCCATGTAGTTTTGGTGCCTGTCCTGGATCTCGTTCTGTAGACCAGACTAGCCTCACAGAGATCCGCCTGGCTCTGCCTCCCGAGTGCTGGGATTAAAGGCGTGCGCCACCACCACTTGGCTTATTGTTTTGTTTTTAAGATAGTGATTCGCTGTGTAATCCTGGCTGTCCTGGAACTCACTATTTAGACCGGGCTAGCCCGGGACTCACAGAAATCCACTTGCCTCTGCCTTCTGAGTAATTGGATCAAAGACATGCCACCATTCAGTCAAGCTAAGGACTGAAACCTTGGGATCCTGATTGTCCCCAAATGGCAGCCAGCTCTCATGAGGCATCATCTTGGGTCTTCATGCACACACACACCAGTTGGTTCCACTACACCCATCATTAGGGTTTATGGCTTGGCACCACAGTTCTAGCAGCCAGCCTGCTGGGAGCTGCCCTTTGCCCTGGCTCAGCTCTCCCCAATAGACCTGAGATCCAGTTCACTGAATAAGGAAATAAAACATTTATTAAGCCAAAGGCTGTACCAGCCACCCAGACCCTGGATGAGCGGTGTGAAGGGATACCTGGAACCACCACCACCATGACCAGCACAGCTCACGGCAGCCGGCCCAGACAGAGCTCCTGCACCCAGTGGGCCAAGAGGTGCTACATGCTTAAGCGTAGGCCTGGTGCTCCTTCTCCACAAAGGCCTGGAAGAGGCTGCCCAGCCCCCGGGGAGGGAGGGTCTGGTCACCAGTAAGGAGTCCACGGAGAACCTGCAGGCCTTCCTGCTCCAGGCTCTGCTGCTTCTGTCGGAGCTGTTTCCTCTGATCCTGCCAGGCAAGGCAGAGGCGAGGAATGTGGACCCTCTCCTTCAGGCAGGAGAAACCCAAGACTAGCTGAAGGCCCCGCCTGCCCCCAGCTCTGCAGTCTCCTCTAGCCCCAGGCCCTAGAATATCAAGAAGGTAAAGGTATTTCCTACCTGCTTATCCTCCATCAGCTCCAGGACTGCCTGGTGTCCACGATAGAGTAAGTGTCGACGATCCACCCGAGTCTGGAATCGGGGGAGGATCCGAACAGGGTCCTGGGCTCCAAAAGTGGGAGACAGCACCTGGGGGGCCTGGGCCACCCCCACTTCAAAGACGAAGGGTTTGAATACCGACCTGACGAGACACAGGTTGAAGTAGTAGCCGGGGACAGGTCTGGTCATGTCCCCCAGCCAGTATGTCCTCTTCACCCTCACCTGGACGGGTCTGGTGTGGCCGTGAGGAAGTGGACACAGGGCTTTGTGGGATCCTGGGGCAGGACCGACACCATGCTGGCCGTGGTGCGGAAGCCTCCGGAGTCCATGCAGATGCCGCTCTCCTTGTTCCTGAGGATGTCCATCATCACCTCTGCTGTGATGTTTCCTGCAAAGGAGGAAGTGGTGGGGACCCGGCAAACGAGAGAGTGTGAGAGAGACTCCAGGCCAGGGTGCTGTGGCCCTCTCGTCCACCACTCACAGACCTTGCTGTTGCTGCAGCAGCTCACACCCAGCCCGGAAGCGGGCCTTGGCAGCTTCCATCCGCACAGGCTGCTGGGCCAAGGAGAAGACCTCTGCAAAGTTAAAGGTGCCCTCTCCAGTCCACCAACCCTGGGCCTTGGCATGGCTTCGGAGCTCTGGGTGTTCTGCTGAGATGTCCGTGCCAATGCTCAGCTGGTTAGAAATGTTTCGGGCACCCCCTGCGGAAGAAGAGGAACTTATTCATGGATCACGGAGCACCCACTATATGCCAGGCCCTGGGTGAGGAGCTTAGATTACGGTTTTAAAAAGCTCAACCTGCTCTGAAGGGGCCTCCAGTGAGGAGGAGACAGATGAATCAATCAGAGCTATGTCATAGGGATGAACGAGATGGCAAAGTGGTAGTCGCTTGCATATGACCTCCCAGGAAGGCTTTCCAGAGGAAAGGGCAGGCTGAAGCAGGGGAGCATCTGGCCAGGGGAAGGAGGAAGTTCCTAAGTGGGTTCATTTCCAGTTTTCTGGGGTGTCCCAATGCCCAAGGCTGTCGGGGGAACAAAAGTGGGAGCCTCTAGAAGTGGAGGGCAGTACCTGGGGACATCTAGGTTCCCTCTCGGAGGCAGGCTCCACACTAGACTCCTACCCTGGATCCGCTGAGCAGCCCACAGCCTCCCAGCTGTCTCCAGCACCCACGCCTCTGTGCGGTCAGTCAGTAGGAAGGTGTTGTGATAGCAGAACAGCACAGGATCCTCCCGGCAGCTGCCCCCCTGCCCGTAGCGTTCTAGCAAGCCTGCAATCACGTGCACAGCCTCCTGGGCAGTACTGCTCCGTTCCAAAGCCAGCCTAGCAGAGAGGTCAGAGGACAGAAGTGATCCAGAGAGGTTTGAGGAAAGCCCATGTTACACAGCAAACCCAGCAGCAATGATGGTATGCGGCACAGGCCTGTGAGCCCAACAAAGAGGTGGAGGCAGGAGGATCAGAAGTTCAACTCCACAATCAGCTACATACTACATGATTCCTTATCTCAAAACAGACAAAAATACCAAGGCAAAATGAAAAACCAGCCAGATGTGGTGGTAAACACCTTTAACCCCAGCACTTGGGAGGCAGAAACAGGTGGATTTTCTGAGTTCAAGGACAGCCTGGTCTACATAGTGAATTCTAGGCCAATCAGGGATACACAATGAGAAGCTGTCTCAAAACACAAAACAAAACAACAAGCAAGAAAAAAAATGAAAAAGCCATAAGCCAGTGGTTTCCAAGCTTTGAACTGAGAGTTCTATGGAAAGGTCTGGAACACTGTTTCCAAGGAAGAAGTGCCTGAACTTCTTCTCAGTCAGAGCTGCCCCACCTTTATCATTCTATAAACCAGAATTCTACAGGAGATTTCAGTTAACAAAAATAGTACTGAAAAAAAAATTAAACTGCTCTGGGCCAAAGGAGGCTCTTTATCAGGCTTGGTGGCCCACGACTTTAGGCCAGACTGGTCTACAAAGTTCTAGGACAGCCACAGCTACACAAGAAACCCTGTCTTGAAAAATCAAAGAAAGAGGAGGAGGAGGAGGAGGAGGAGAAGGAGAAGAAGAAGGAGGAGGAGGAGAAGGAGAAGAAGAAGGAGGAGGAGGAGAAGAAGGAGAAGGAGGAGGAGGAGGAGGAGGAGGAGGAGGAGGAGGAGGAGGAGAAGGAGAAGGAGAAGGAGAAGAAGAAGAAGGAGAAGAAGAAGACAGAAGGTGAACAGTAGCCTTCTTAGAGAGGCCCCAGGACAAGGCCAAGAGAGAGGCAAGGCCAATGAACCTGAGTGTTAGGGGCAGAGGGTGGGGGCATGAAGAGCGGGTGGGTCTGTACCTGAGTAGATCCATACCCAGGAGGGCTTCCCCCTCCCCAACAGGCTCCTTGGTCCACACTGCTTCGTTGCCAATGCAGACACCATGTTCATTGGCTCCCATCTCAGCCCCCCACAGCCAGGAAGGGCGGCTCAGAATCACAGCATGTGTCTTCCACACCTGTTCCACCTCGATGTAGGTGCACTGGAGGTAAAGAAGAGAAAAGAAGAATTCACAGGGAAAAAAAAGACCCAGAACCTGCATTGCTCTGGCACTTTGTCAGCCACTTTATATAATGGCCTTAGGAAAGGGCTTGTTCTCAGGTCACGCATGCGTAAACTGAGTCAGCAGAGGCTAAGGAGACTCAACGTCCAGGTGGGTGGACTTGAAGTCCTTACTCTTTTCACAGCATCTGCCAACATCCGAGGTGCAAGAAAATAAAGGTCTGGGAACAATGTCTAAACCTTCCTATTCCTTTTAAGTCCTAACCCACCTGGAGCCGGCTCCCAGGGGTGTGAGTGCCTGCTGGTATAAACACCACCTCCTGCACCTCATCTCGGGGGCGGTCCGAGTTCTTTGCAAAGATCACAGCCGGGATGGCTGAGGCCGGGGGCACAGAGACAAAGCAGTCGCAGGAACAAGGGGCATCCGGGCTCGAGGAGGCCATCTGCGAAGAGGTGGGGATGATCAGGTCCCTCCAGTGACACCTCTCCACAATCCTGGCCACCTGTGGGGCCTAGGACGCTCCCTCCCACATGTGCACTCAGAGAAGACAGAGTCCATGCCAGACGCTCCGGGACAACAGCACTGGGCGCACACTCCGAGCGCGGTATGCACTAAACGTGCACTTGGTTTAAGAGTCAGCAGACAACGCAGAGCGTCCGCCTTGGAGTCTCAGCCCCACCAGGCTGTAAGGGTAGTTTCTAGGCACTAACACCGGCGCCAAGAATCCCGCGCTCCTGCGCATGTCCACATTCGCGCTCCCCTTCCGTCCAACCACTTCCAAGTCCTCAGTACCTCCACCTCTCACCCTCTCTGCCTCCAAGACCCTCAGACTCGGTTCTGGCCCCACTCGGTTCTGTTTCAGGCCAGATCTGTTCCTCTGGACCCAGATTCCCAGGTGACCTGGAAGGCCTTTGTCCCCGGGGGCGGGGCCGGAACAGAACACCTGCAATCCCACCGTTTCCCACGAGGGTGCGCGCTAGCTAGCACTACTTCTTGAAACCAAGTGGCTGGCCTTCCAAACCCTGCCTGAGTGTCCTGGACTTCTAGTTCAGGCTTATTGGAGAGAGTCACTTTAGGAAGTGGAGCTGAAGGAGAAAAGAAGCCTGAGTGAAAATAGAGTATTCATAAAATAGCCAACGCTGCTGGGGGTTCTGGAGATTAAGGAAGAACTTTAGCTGCCTGAATCCCGACTAGAATTACAAAGACTCAATCCTAGTGAAACTGCACAGCACAATACAGGAGGCATAGGGATAGCTTAGGTTAAGTATTGTTTATTTTAAAAATTATTTTCAGGGGCTAGAGAGATAGCTCAGCGCTTAAGAGCACTGGCTGCTCTTGCAGAGGATCTGGGTTTGATTCCCAGCACCCACACAGTGGCTCATAGCCATCTGTAATTCCGCTTCGGGGGAATCTGATGCCTTCTGGCCTCCATGGACACCAGGCACATGTGTGGTGCACAGACACACACACTGGCAAAACATCCATACACATAAATTAAAATTTTTAATTTTGTAATTGTGTGTGTGTGTGTGTGTGTGTGTGTGTGTGTGTGTATGTGTGTGTGTGTGCATTACGTGTATGGGAGGGTATATGCCCGAGGAAGCCAGAAGAGAGTGTTCCATCCCTTGAAGCTGGAATTACAGGTGGTTGTGAGCCACCTGGCAGGAGTTATGAAAACCACACTCAGGTCTTCTACAAGATCAGTGTTCACTTTTTGTTGTTGTTGTTGTTGTTGTTGAGATGGTATCTCTGTGCAACAGCCCTAGCTGTCCTGGAACTCGCTCTGTAGACCAGACTAGCCTTGAACTCACAGAGATCCTCCTGCCTCTGCCTCCCAAGTGCTGGGATTAAAGGCGTGTGCCACCACTACCCGACCAGTATTCACTCTTAACTGCTGAACCATCTCTCCTTTCATTTTCAACCTTAGCTGTCATATCTTAGGGACAGTCCACCTTGTTGTTGTTGTCTTTTAATATATTTTACAATGTGACTTTGGGAGATGATTTGTGTGTATCCATGTGTGCAAGTGCACATGTATGTGCATGCTAGTGCAGACTAGAGGTCAACATTGGATGTTTTTCTCAGTGGCTCTCCATCTTATTTTTTGAGACAGGACCTCTCATTAAACCTTAATCTTGTTGATTCTGCTCCACCATCTGGCCGGCAAGCCCAGGGAGTCTCCTGTTTCCACCTTCCCAGGGCTGGGATTGTAAGTGCCTGTGCTTCTGGGGAAAGAACTCAGGCCTTCATGTTCATATGGCAGTCACTTTATTGTTTGAACCCTTATCTCCCCAGCCCCCATGTCCCCCATGTCACAAGGAGATACACACAAAACCCTCCTGTCTCCAAAAACCCAAGTTCTGTTCTGCCCCATATGTGCTTAAGGTTATAGAAAGATAACTTTGAAAGGAAATTTAGAAATTTCTATTTCAAATCCTTCTACATGCTAAGAAAATGAGATAGCAAAGGAGAGATTTGGGCTAAGAGGGATGTACAGTGGTGTGGAGCTAGATTCTGAACTCAAATGTTTTGGGTTTTCAGTTCCTTTTTCCTCTATGAATCATCTCTGTAGGCAGCTCTAAAGAAAATACATCTCATACATTTATGCTCCTATGACCTCTGGGAATTACTTCTAGGGGTTACATACTGTCAGTCTGTAATACCTCAACAACCTTAATTCTTGCAATACAAAAAACACAGAGGTGTGTGTGTGTGTGTGTGTGTGTGTGTGTGTGTGTGTGTGTGCGCATTCTTCAATTTCTTTTATCAATTTTTCATATCTGGGGCTGGGAATGGAGCTCAGGTGGTAGAGCATTTGCCTTAGCATGTAAGTTTATGCAGTCCCAGGCATTGCATAAACTGGGTGTGGTGGAGAACACCTGCAATTCCAGGAGGCAGGAGGATCAGAAGTTCATGGGTATCCTTGGTTACAGAGGGAGTTCAATGCCATCCTGGGCAGAAGTCTCTGAGTCAAAACAAATTTGTTTTTCAGTGTACAGATTTTCCCTCTTTGATTCCTTTGTACTTTTTTTTTTTTTTTTTTTTTTGGTGGGTAAAAGGCATTGATTTCTGATTTCCTTTTTTGAATATTTTGGTGGTAATATATAGAAATCTCTCCCACTTTGGTCTTTCTTGTCTTTTTTTTTTTAAGATTTATTTATTTATTTATTTTATTTATATGAGTGCTCTATATGCATGTACACCTTTATTCCAGAAGAGGGTATCAAATCCCACTATGGATGGTTGTGTACCACCGTGTGGTTGCTGGGAATGGAACTCAGGGCCTCTGAAAGAGCAGCCAGTGCTTTTAACCTCTGAGCCATCTCTCCAGCCTCCCACCCCTCCCACCACACACACCTTGGTTTTTCAAGACAAGGTTTCTCTGTGTAGTCCTGGCCCTCCTGAACTCACTCTGTAGACCAGGCTGGCCTGGAACTGGGAGATCCACCTGCCTCTGGCTCCTGAGTGTTGAGATTAAAAGGTGTGCACTACCAACCACTGGGCTAGAAATATTTCTCAAGAGCTGGAGAGACAGCTCATTGGTTAAGAGAAATTGCTGCTCTTGCAAAGAGAACCAAAGTTGGTTCCTAGCACCTAGACCAGGTAGTCCACATCAGTCTGTAACTCCAGCTCCAGGGGATCCAACGCCCTCTTCTGGCCTCAGTGGGTGCCTGCAGCCAAGTGCACACTATACACATAATTACTAAATAAAAACAAAACTTTAGAAAAATAAAACAAACAATACAGCTAAGTAACTTAAATTATCCTCATGGCTCCTGGTTTCCCATTCTGCCTCACTAGGATTACATCTTTGGAATTCAAACTAGGATGCAGCTGAGGTTTTTTCCAGATCATTTTTCCACAATCATCTGTAGCTCCAGTCAGTTCCAGGGATCTGACGCCTTCTTCTAGTCTGAGAGGGCACTGCATTCATGTGGTGTATACACATATACACAGACAAAACATTCGTACACATTAAATTATTATTATTATTGTTATTATTATTGAGACAGGGTTTCTCTTTATAACTGTCCTGGGACTCACTTTGTAGATCAGGCTGGCCTTGAACTCACAGAGATCCGCCTGGCCAAGTGCTAGGATTAAAAGCCACATTTTAAAAAATTTTTTTAAAGAAATCATTTCTTATCGTTGTCTGTTGACTGTTTTCTGTGACTTTATTATTTGATTAGTCTGACAGTTCTTTGGTTTTGTTCCTAAGATAATTTTTAAATTTACATTGCTGGTATTATCCATAAGGCAGTAAAGGATTCTTGGGGACCTAAAAGCTGCTTCGGTGCGTCTTGGAGGAGGGGTACGAGGTTGCCACGGGACATCTGCCCACCTCAAACCTCAAGGCTGTACCTGCATTCTAGGCGCCCCACGGGGAAAGCGGGTTCCTCTCCCGCACTTCCCCAGATGTCCGCTGGGGGGCGGGACAGGCCGAAGGAGAAGGAGGCAGCCGGAAGAGCAGGAAGAGGTGGAGGCTGCGTTCCGGGCCTGCTTGCTGTCACGTTTCCACTTTTGACTTCGTTCACCTGCCCTAGAGGTATTCAACTTCACTTCTCCGGTTAGAAGACTCAGAGAGGTCGAACAGAGGGTCAGTCCAGACGGGCTGATTCCCTCCCTCTCAGCCTCCCCATTACAATCCTGCTGGAGTGCTACTTCTGAGGGGTCATAGGTGACCCTGGGTTCCTTCAGGGGACCCAGGCCAGCCAGGCAGCATTGCAGAGGATCAAGCATGCATCAGAGCCCCACCAAAGGCCCCTGCTAAGAATGCAGGTCAGCTGGAGGAGTTGCAAGGGAAGGAGGCAGGCAAGGCCCTGGCCCTGCCCAGACAAGCCAAGCCGGCCCTGCAGCTGCCCTCCTGTCCCTGGAGGCAGAGATGGGGAAAAGGAGGGACTCACCAGGCTTCTGGGGTCTAATTCCCCCCAGAACCAGGAAGACAAAAGAGGTACCCCGCAGGAGTGCCTCAGGCAGGAAGCCACAGGTAAACAAAGGCTCTGTGCTGTTAAATCCAGGGACAGTTGGAAACAGATGCGCTGTGCCCCCCAACCACAGACCCTAAATCATCCCGATGCCCCCTTCCAATGTTCCCTTAAACACGGAGGCCCCAAAATCTCTCAGACATTTGATAGGATGGGCCAATCTGAGAACCAGATTCGGCTGGAGAAATTGGGGTTGTAGTTAGGGCTAGGAATCGCATGAGAAGAAAACAATACATTTGCAGGAAAAAAAAAATGAGGAAAAGGTGAGTTGGGAAGGTGAAAGGACACCATGACCAACCTTGTCCTTCAGAGACAGGAAACCAAAACAAAAGCTGACCCCCCCATCACCTTCATAAGGCTGTCACTCACTCGACACAAATTAGGTACCAACTATGGGTGGGCATTTCTGGTCTCTCTGAAGCCTGTGAGTCCCGTGAGGGTGCGTCTGTGCACATGGCGGTTGCGTAACCCTGGCAGGATTCTTGCTTTGAGTAGTAGAAGCAACCTTCCCCTCAGCCTTTCCAGCTGGGCAGGTGCCCATCAGATACCATGACTGCCTTTCATCGCCTTGTCTCTGATAGGGATCATCCTGGGTGAAGAAATCACTGTCAGTCACCCCCACCTCACTCCCAGCCAGAGGGACCGGCTGACATGCATGCTCCCATGGGGGTAGGGAGAGGGAGCCAAGTGGCCAGCCAGGGGAGAGGATCTCAGGGGAGAGGATCTCAGGGGAGGGAGGACATCTTATGAGGTGAGTACCAGAGGCTATTGATTCAGAAGCAGCCTTTCTCTCCTTAGCCCCTTCAAGATAGGATCAGATCCAAGCTCTGACCCCAACCAATTGAATAGAGGTGATGCTTGCCCGAGGATCCCCCTACCCAGTCACTGTGGAGGGACAGAGTCAAAAAGAGGATGCTGAGCTGGACGACAAATAAAGCAAGAATGTGGTTGGTTGATGACTTTATTGTTGCATAAAAAACACAGGCTGTTTCTGCCTCCTCCTTCCCTCCCCCCCAAGTGGGTTCACAGCAGTTAAAGAAAAAAAATTCCTACATTTTCCTCTAGGGAGGGCTGCCGAGAAGGGCAGGCAGCTGAGAAACCTAGATTGGTAAAGGGCAGGGCAGACAAAAACTATCCAAAGCCCCCCGGCAGGTCTTAGGGTTCAGGGTGTCTATGATGGGGAGCATGCACGCCCCCCCACACCCATGTAGGAGTTCCCCTAAGAATGGTCACTGGAAAAGGTTGTCTTGGTAGCACAGGGAGAAGGGTGGCTGGTTTCGATGGGTGGAGGAGAAAGCACCCCACACCCCACCCACGGTGCCCTTCTTTCTCCCCCTCTGTACCTAGCCAGGCAACCTGGAGGCATGGCAGCTCTGCTCTTGGTTAAGAAAGAGGACCTCTGGCTAGGTTAGCAGGAGGTGGGGGAAAGAGGGGGGAAACAGAAAGAACCTTATTCTTAAACTACTTCAGGCCCCTAAGTCCCACAGGGAGTCACCCTGTCCCCTTTGAGGAGGAGCCCTTTCTACACAAACACATATTCCTACCCAGATCCCAGCCCCTACTTCCCATACAGCTCCCAGTCCTTGGACTGGGTTCCAGCATCCCCAATGGAGAAAGAGATACTGTGGGTCTAGGCCCCAGACCTTGGACGGGGTGAACAAGATGGGGTCTCAAGAGACCCCAGGCTCAGTAGAGAAACACATACATACATACAGGTACAGACAACACACATATACACACTCACGCCCTAATTCTTAAATAAAATACCCTTTGCTTATAACTTAAAAATTAACACACAGCTATTCCCTGCAGAGGGTTCTGGGTGGAGAGAAACGAGCAAGAGAGAGGTCGGAGGCACTCAAGGCCTCTACCTCAAACCTGAGAGTGCCCCCAGCCCCAGGGTCCTGCGGTCTGCCAGGCAGAAGTCTGCCCTCCCCACCCTGTGATCAAAACCCAAATGTATTTCTAGCATCTAAGGAGGGGGACAAAGAAACAGCTTCCTAGAATCCCTCCAGTAGAGACCCACTCGTGTGGAAGATTTCCCACGGGGGTGAGGGGGAGGGCTCTACAGCGTGGAGGGAACATGGAAGGGTCAAGCTAAAAAGAGAGGGGCAGGGGAGTCCAGACAGGGGCAGGTCATCCACTGTCCTCTGCTAGGACAACCCCAAACCGTGGAAGGACCCCTCTCCTTTCCACCCCCAAAGGGAAAGCAAAGGATGGGGACCTTTTTTTGGGGGGTGGTCCATGTCAACTCCGGAGCTGATGCTGGTGGTTGACTTCAGAAAACTACCTAGTGGGATGGGGAATGGGGGCGACTGAATTTGATTTCTTTTAAAAGGTCTAAGAGTTAAGATTGAATTAGATTGAAAAGGGAAGAAAGGGTTCGTTCTTCCATCCCTTACCTTCCCCCCCACCCCATGCCAAACTTCTTCCGTTTTGTAAGAGGACCTCTCCGCTGAATTCCTCTCCTCCACGTAACTCTGACCTCCGGCTCACAGCTCCGGCTGCGAAGCTGTGCCCTCCCTGGCTCTCATAGACTGAATCTGGAAGGGTTTATAAGGAATTCATTGAAGGGAGTTCATTCTATAGTAACAACCCTCCGAGCTAGATAGACAGCCCCTTAAGGGGAACCGCCCCAGGCTCCCCCGCCTCATCTCTGCTCTCTCTCCGGAAATTTTAGAGGGAGAAGCACTCCAAGGGGGATGAAAGGGGCCTAGGCCTTAGGGCGGCTCCGAGGCGCTTTTATGTCCGGGTTCCCAGGAGCGAAAGACATGTCCAGACAGCTACCCCCAACGCCCCGAGCCAGTCTCCCTTCCCCTCAGCTCCTGGGACGTGCCATTTCTACTAATCAAACCCCTCCACATGGTAGGGGTGATCCATCCTAACCCTTCAGCAACTCAGGGGAGGGTGAAATAGTGAGAAAGAAAAGAAGCGAGGGGGCACGTTTAGCTCCTGGCAGCCTAAACATTCAAATAGCCTCCCATCTAGCCCCAGAAACTAAAAAATCCCTAGCGCCCTTCTCCCTGTCCCCTCACCGTCAATAAATAACCACCTTCCCCTCTTACTCAGGCCGCCCCCCTAAAAAGATCGGCAGGGATGCGACATCCACGGGGATCAGTTGGAGGACGCCGAGCTGCCGTCGGCCTCTCGTTTGCCTTTGCCCCCGGGCGGCTCCACCGCGCCACCGGCCTTGGCCTCGCCCTGGGCCGCCGCCGCCGCAGCCTCCTCTTTGGCGCCCTCGTGGGTTTTCATGTGCTTGGCCAGGTGGTCGCTGCGCATGAAGACTCGGCTGCAGACCGCACAGGGGAACTTCTTGGTCCCGGTGTGGGTCTGAAGGTGGCGCTGCAGCTCGTCGGAGCGCGTGAAGCGCTTGCCACAGAAAAGCCAGTTGCACACGAAGGGACGGTCGCCGCTGTGCCACCGCAGGTGCGCCTTCAGATGCGACGTCTTGGCGTAGGCTTTCCCGCAGCCGGGGATGTGGCAGTTGTGCAAATGCTTCTTCTTGCCCCCATCGGGCCCGCACGGAGCCCCCAGTCGCTCCGCCTCCAGGCAGTTGGGGCAGCGACACACGGTCTGCCCTGAGCTGCGGGGCACAGACCGCCGGGAGCCTTTGGGTCGGGCCGCCGCATCCAGACTGGAATCCAGCCCTTGGGACTCTGGCGCCGCCGCTTCCAAGGCCTTAGCCCCGTCGGGTGGCCCTAGGAGGTGCTGACCACCCGCGCCTGGCAGGAGGTGGTGCGGGTGCGGGTGGGGCGGCGGAGCACAGAGCTGGTGGTCTCCGACGTATCCTCCCAAACCGGGCTGAAGCGCCCCCGGGTGGCCAGGTGAGGTCAGCGCTCCTTGAGTATGGGGGAGGTCCATCCAGCTGGTGCCGGGATGTAGGTCCCACCAGGAGCCATCCTCCGTGCCTGGGTGAGTCGGCCGGAACCACGATTCGTAATGATGTGACATGTCCGGCTGCAGGAGCTTGGAAAAGGGTCCCGGAGCCAAGGGACTGTCGCTTTCCAGGTCCTCGCAGGTTACCCGCGAGGAGGCCCCTGGCAACTCATAGCCCTGTGAGAAGTCTACCTCCGGGCCCAGCGGGAGGCTCTGCAGCTCTCCAGGCTGCAGCGGGGAGGGGTAGTCCCCGACCTCCGGGCTCGTGTGACCCTGGTACGTCTGGAGAGGCTGCAGGTCGAGGCGCGGTGGTGATGCGTGAGGCGCGTCGGTGTGCTGGCTGCCCAGAGAGCCACAGACAGCGGTTAGCATTGCCGGGATCCGGGGTGGGGTGAGGGCAGGGACGGTCAAGGGCACCTCAGGTGGGACCTAGTGGAGGCAAAGATGAGACATAAGGAAGGTGACCTGCATACTTTCCCTCCTAACCCTGACCCCTCCCCATTAAAGCGCTCCTTCCGAACCCCTAACAGGAAAAGAGGGACGTGCCTCTGGGTGGAGACCGCAAATCAGTTAGAGCTTGGGAATGCTAGGAAGGAGAAATGTGAAAGTCCAGGTCAGGGCACAGAATGGCCTTTCCTCTAAGTGACCCCGCCCTTAGGACTCAGCTCTTCCAGGAGTTGGCTTGGCCCCAATGCCGCCAGAACCATCTCTGCATAGTGACTGGGCATTTCCCCCTGCAGACCTGCTGCCAACCTAAATGGATGATCTAGATTCGTCTTAGCTCAAGTCTAACTCTGGACACCGATAGGACGGGCATATGCTTCTGGCTGCTTGAGAACAGAACAGGTCCTGAGCGTTTTGCCAAAGCCAATCACAGACCTGCTGTAGCGATGTGGAACAGCATTTAATCTCTCCATACACTCCCCGGCTCCTTGCCTAGCTTCATTGACTCTGCCCATCAAACCCACTCCCTCACCCAACACCCACTCCTTTCCCTCCATATGAATCTGGGAGGAATTACCAGAGAAAGGGGTCGCCCAGAGAAGAGCTTGTTAGAAACTCACAAAAATATAACCGCTGCTCCCTTACAGAAGGCAGCACCAGAGTTTGGAAGAGATGGGCATCCCTCATCCCAGAACTCACGGGCAAGCACTGGAAAAGTTATAGAAGCCCCTCCCTTAGAAGACTCCAATGTCCAGCCAAGTGTTGAGGGCTACTGTTCTGAGTCTGCTCTTATTTAAGAAAGCAAAACTTGAAGCAGTGACTAGAATAAAATGTTTACTTAATCGTTCAGTCAACAAGCCTACACTGTGCAGTGCCTCTGTGAATCAGTTCTCCTTCTCACAACATTAGAAACCCAAGGCCCAGCAGAAACCTACAGATCTGGCCTGGGTGTGGTGATAAAAGCCTTCAATCTAAGCGCTCAGGAAAATGAAACAGAAGAATGCAGAGTCCCAGGCCAGCCCGGGCTACATGGCAAAAGAAGGAAGGAAGAGAGGGAAGGGGTGAGGGAGAGGGAGATAAAAGAAAAAGAAGAGAGAAGCTGCTAAGCACGGTGGGAACCATCTAATAAATAATCCCAGCACTCAGGAGGCTGAGACAGAAGGCTTCTGAGTTTAGATTAGGCTCAGAAATGAGACCCTGTTTAAAAAAAAAAATTAAAGAAACCTTAAAACCTCCACCGCTTTCTCCACCACAAATCTATGACCCGAAGGTCCCAGTCTGCTCTCCATCTCTCCCCAGAGCCTTGGACTCTTGCCTGTGTGTGGGCTGGCGTGGAGGAGGCCAATGATTTAGGTAGGGCCTTCCCCAAGCAGGGCTCCGCTGACCGTACCAATCTCCGGCCTCTGGGACCAAGGAGGTAGCATTGGTAGTCTGGGAGAGGCAGGGAAGAGGAGGACCCGGGTGCCTACTCAGGCTCTGGCAGCCTTACCACAAGAAAGGAACAGGGTGAAGCAGCAGGAACGGAGCCTTAGGCCGGGGCGGGGCAGCCCAGAAGGGGTTGGGCTGGAGCATTGAGGCCTGGGACCCTAATAGCTTTTGGCGCCTGGGAACTGCCCCAGGGTCTGGGGGGATGGGAAGGCTAAGATGACCCAGGCTGCAGAGGGGCCTCTCTGGACAGAGAGCTTGAGCCCAGGCCTAGAGTGCAGTGGCCTGCAATCAAGGTTGCACTAAAAGAAAGCAGAGCGAGCACGCCGACTCCCCAATTCGAGAAAGAGGGAAGAGACGTCTTTAAGTTCCATTGGATCGTCTGCCTTCCCCGATTTCCAGTGCCCAGGCGGGGGGACTTCCGTTCAAACATGGTTTTCAATGTTCCAGTCCTCCGGTTGTCCCAGTTGCTCGAGTTTCCCCAGTTCCCAAACTCCCTTGGTCCCTCCAGTCCCTCCCGTCCTCCCGGTTTTTCCTCCGCCTGGGCTCTCAGCCCCTCGGATCCTTTAAGACCACCCTCCCCACGAGGCCAGCGCAGGCTGCCATGTGTTCGGAGCACCTTGCCCCTCGGATCTCCGCCGCGCGCGCGCCCCTGGCCGAGGGGACCCCGGCTCCTACCTGGCGGTTGCGCTCGGGCTCCGGGCACCGCAGGCTGCTGGCGCGCTACAGACGGGCGCTCATGGGCCCTACGCGCTGGCCGGTTCTCAGCGACGTGGGACAGGAGCCGAGGGCAAGCTGGGGCCGCGACCAGACCCGGCGATCGGCGGCGGTGGAGGCGGTGAGAGCCGGCGGGAGGGTGGAGGGCGGGCGGGCGCCGGTGAGCGAGTAAGCGAGCAAGCGAGGCCAGCTCCGCCCGTGACTCACCGCGCTCTGTGCCTTCATCCTCTCCCCTGCGCTCCTTTTTCCCCCCCGAACCCGCGGCCCCGCCCACCTCACCTGCCGCCGCCTTTAACCCTTGCTGGCTCGGCTGGAGGCGAGGCCCAGCCCCGTGCGAGGAGGGGGCGGGCGAGAAGGATGGCTAACCAGGCCATTTCCCTCTCTCTCCCTCGCTCCTCCCAGGTCCCCACCACTCCCCGAGTTAGGGGCCTGAGTTGAGAGTTTTTCCCATGTTCAAAGACCCGTGCGATCCCGTGGAAATCTAGCCCGCAGCTGGTTCGGTCCGGCGGGGGACACGGTTCAGACCCGGGATGGGAGGAAGGACCAAGGGTCCTGGCAGAGCTATCGAGCCTACCTTAGGGCGCGTGTGGCTACCAGTGCTTTTGACACACGCGTCCTGGCCTCGCAGTGCTAGAAATGAGGGAAAAAGGAAACTTAAGGACCAAGTTTCTGCCTGGCCCACCCCCAGGCCTAGGCCGTGGGAAGTGTATTTTGGCTACGCCGCTGGCCTCCCTCCGCCACCACAGTGCGCCGTACTTTCCCCTCCCGTTTTCCTGAGATCCTCCCGCTCTATCTGGTCACTGGACTTTCTGGGTGATCACCATCCCCTCAATGTCTTCCCCAATCTCCGGTCTCACTGGTCCCGAGATCCTTTCAGTGTGCCCTCTCCACCGTCCCTCAGGCGGCCAGCCTAGCGACATCGAAGTCCACCGCGTAAACCCGCCGCCTTCCTCCCGGTCCGGGTTGCTCAGCCCTTACGCGGGGCTGCTGCCGCGCATTTGGATCTGAGGGTTGGGCAGGCACCTGACTGGCCCTGGGAAGGAACAGTTCAGCAACGGATTGAGTGTGTCTTTTTGCCACGGGCTCTTTCCGAGTCTCAACTGAGTATCTAAGTTAAGAGAAAGGTCTTGGATTCCTTGGAGGAAAGAAACGCACGTACGCAAAGCCACATTTTCAGGGCATCCACGGCGCCACTCGCCTAAACAAAATTCTCAAGATGCGAATTGGTGGAAATTCTGAGACCCCTACCTCGAACTCAGGTGGGTTCCAGAGTCCCCCCAACTCTCTGCCCTGATGGCCTGACTAGAAGTAGCTCCCGTGTCTTTCCCGCTGCCTCCCAATCCCGCTGGTTGACTCCCTAGGTGACCCTTTTTGACACGGAATTTCTGAGCGATTTTCAGAAGTTGTTTCTTTCTTTCGTTATCGCGGCTGGCTTTCCTTCCGCACTCTTTACAATCCATTTCCGAGAGTTCTGTAATTTAACTGATGTAATCTCGCCACTACGGACTCTTCTTTCTTTTTCTTTCTTTGCATTTTGAAGCTGGCTCTCACTCTGTAGCCCAGGCTGGCTGGGAAATCACTCGATCGCTCTCGCGGGCCTCGGCTATGCACCAGTCTTCCTGCCTCAACCTCCCTCCTCCTTCTAGGATCACGGGTGTTAACGTTAGTGCCCGGTTTCAGTCCTCATTTCACTCCGATTAGTTTATCTGCCCTCTGTTCCCTTTTGAGACACACTGAAGCATCCAGCTTAACTGAATCCATCCGCCTTCTGACCGCCAATGCGCGTCCCCAGCGGTCAGCGCTTTACCCATTTGAACACCTTTGTATTTTCTAAAACTGGAGTCCTTCACCTGGACAACGTGGGTACAAGCTCTGAGGGTTTCCTGAGGCTTTAATAAATCGTACCTAAAAGAGCAAATTCCTCGAGGCCCCTGCTAGAAACAGAATAAACCCTTAAACATTTTTACAATAAATTTGTTCCCAGAAACACGTGCAGATTCAAGTACATTCAGAAAGATCTTTGGACTCGAAGTTCACAAACCTAAATTCTGGCCCCAGCGCTAGGTCTTTTACACCGGCCCTCGGGGATTAGGTTGTTCTATGCCTCGGTTCCTCAGCTGACCTGGAGGGCTGAAGGATGGGCATTTGGAAGCGGAAGACATATTAGAGAGAGACTGGTGATCAGCTGGGACCTACTGTTCTTCCCTCTTCCCTGCCCTTAAGATTACGTAACAAAAATTCTTAAGAATTTCTTTGGCTCTTTGTGTCCAGACTCACACTTCTTATCAACGGGGTTAGTCCACTCAACCAACCTCCAAATCCTGACTAACTAACGGTGGTTTTCATTCTCAGTTCTCAGTTACCTCCAGAGCCGAGTTAGGGGTTCATAATGTGGGGGGTTCAGAGCCTGACTTGGGTGAATATGGAGCAAGACTTCCTGGAGCAAGACTGATCAGACCCCGATATTCCGGTCCCCTCAGCTGCCTGGAGTCGGTGCATCTGCCCCGCAGTGGTTCTCAACCTGTGGGTCTGGACCCCTTTGGGGTTTGCACATCAGATATCCCAACAATCAGATATTTACAGTATGGCTCATACCAGTTGCAAAATTACAGTTATGAAGTAGCAACGAAATAATTTTACGGTTGGGGGTCACCACACCATGAGGAGCTGTATTAAAGGATGGAAGCATTAGGAAGGCTGAGAACCGCTGCTCTACTGTTCTTCCAGCCGGGCAGGCGTGAGCTAAGCTGAGGTCAGCCTGAATCCCCACGTCCATTTACAGGTGTCTGGCTGCCTTATTTCCCCAGCGCTGTCCATCTTTTCTTGGAAAGCAACTAGGAAAAGAATGGCAGAAACCCCACCTCGGTTTCCCCTTTACACCGCCCCATCCTGGAGCAGAGACCCTGCAACTGCCCGCGGCTCCTCAGCCTGAACTTCAGCTGTGGGGAAGTTACCCCTGACCGCTTAGTCATTCCACCTCTCTGTCCTGACTAGCTCTCTTTCTTTCCGACAACCTGGACCTCATTCCTCTGCTTCCAACTAGTTCCATTTCCTACTTGCTCGATGTTTTCCTACCAAATGAGAGCTGTGATCCAATACTGACTTGATTGCCAAGGTCACCACAGCCCGTGCGCTCATCCTGACTCCATATTGAACTGCCCTTCACACAAACCAAGGTGTGCTCAGAACGTGGTCCGATTCTATTCCTTTCATTCTCTCAGTCTCAAACAGATTTTCCCAAGTCTCTGCCAGCCTTTATCTCAAACTTCTTTTATAGTAAGTGATTCATCTTGTGCCCTAGCAGCCTCCTTGGTCGGGATGTTCATGAGAAGCAGCATTTCTTTATGGAGTACCTACTATGTGTAGTCCAGGTACTCACTTCCCACAAATACCTCTAATTCTCATGAGCAGGCAACAAAGTAATTATTATTATCATTCCCATTGTACAGATGAGGAAGTCAGGGATCAAAGAAGCTAAGAGACCTGCCCAAGATTACAGTGATATTAACAGATAAAAGAGGAAACTGAGTCCAGCTAGGTAAGGCTCCAAAACCCACATTCTACCTGCTGTTCTGTCTGGCTTCACTATGACAGAAGTGATGGCTCTGGGAGTTTCTTCCTAGGTCCCTATGGTGAAGGGAACAGCATCCTTAGCAGATCCCTGGGTCCAAGCCACTGACATCTCCTGTCTGATAGGGTGGATATCTGATCTACCTTGAATTACTGAACAAATCACATTCCACACAGGTGTTCCTTCCCAGACTCCCATATTGCCTATAGAGATTACCCCATGAGGGGCTGGAGACAGAGCTCCCATGGTAGAATACTTACTTAGCATCAGTGAGGCCCTGGCTTCAGTCCCCAGCGCCTAAGAAAACTGGATGTGGTGATGAACACCTGGAATCCCAATTCCGGAGAAGTAGAGGCAGGGGCTCAGGAATCCAAGGTCATCCTTAGCTATACAGTAAGTTTAAGGCCAGCCTGCGCTACATGAAACCTTGTCTCAAAGGACAACAACAAAATTGTTCTAACAATAAAAATGGTCTGATCCGAGTACTGATAGGAAAACTGAAGCCCTCAACAGGGAGACATGTAGCTCAAAGTCACACATCACGTTAGAGGCAGAGCAGGCTAGACCCTACCTACCTCACTGTTTCCTACTCCTCACTCCCAACTCCACACCGTGTCTCCCCAACTTCAAGCTGGTGACCCGGGACACCAGCACTTTCCTCCTGTCTCTGTCAACTCTCCCAGATTCTTCAAAAACCAGGCACAGTCCAAATATGGGTCAAATTGTTTTATGTACCCCTCACTTATTTAACAGACATTGAGAGTCTAGTAGGGCCAGGGAGTGTGCTGGGTACTGATTCTTGGCTAAATCCGAATATCACCAGCCTCTATCATCTGTTTTTAGTCTAAAGGATGAGCACCTCTTAGAACACCGTGTGTGTGTGTGTGTGTGTGTGTGTGTGTGTGTGTGTGTGTGTGTGTGCCCTGTATGTCTATTCACATATACTCATAACTTTCTTTCAAATTGGAGTCCCCAGTCTTGAATCCCTGCCCCACATCTTGCCCAGATCTCAGCCCAACCCATTCTGAAAACCTCCCAGGGATCCTCTTGGGTCCACCCTCCCGCCACAGATCTCTTTTTACCCCCTTTCTTCAGCTGAGAAAGCATCAAGCTCTCCAGACCCGACTCTATGGTCTCTTTAGAGTGGAGACCTGGTCTTCTTTGCAGAGGTCCCCTATGCTAGATAGGGAACAGCCTTTCTTACCAGTCCATGGAGCCCAGAGCTGGCAGCAGCAGTGAGGGGCAGGTGGGGTGACAGGAGAGCCAGGCTTTATAAAGGAGGCGACAGTCAGAGCCAAGGAGGGAGGTGGGAGCACTGGCGGATGCCGCCAAGTCCTCGCGGCCTCAGAAGCTTTTAGGATAATCCAGGAAGCAGTGGCCTGATTCTCATGGGGGGAGTGGTAGTGAGTGAGATCTGAGTCTGTCGGGGCTGCCAGGAACTGAGCGCTGCAGCTGGAAGAGGCAGCTGGGGGGTGGGGGCAGAGTGCTGCACAGGACTTCCTTCTCTGGGGTCCAGGGT